CTTTTAAATGTCAAAATCCAACAGAAATTTTGTTTACAGCTCATAAAGCCTTGGCATGTGGCATTAAAGCGTTTGAAAAAAGAAAACATATTAATGAACCACACAAAAATAGACACAATTTGTGAACAAAAAGTATGGAAATAACAACAACAACTACAAACGACAAGTGCCAAAGCGCTAAAAGTGTGGTAAAAAGGGGCGCAAACTTTATGAAATTATTTTAATGAAATCTTAGAATGACGTACCAAAGGCGAGAGGAAACAATAATACATAGAAAAAAAAATTTATTTTTATTGTTGTTGTTTTATTTGTAATTTTTTTTTTGATGTATTATAACTTCATTTTTTATGGTGTGCTAAGTGCGAGGCTATGACTTTTTATTGCTTCTAAAAAGGAAAGAAATGTAAGCTTAAGCTTAACATACTCGTTGTTATTAACAATTATTATCTTAAATTATTATCACTCTGAAACTTTTTCTATTCAACTAAAGTATATGTACATACGAGTATGCTTGTTTATAAAATACTTTCTCTTATTAATATTAAAGTCTTCGAAAGCAAATATATTAATATGTTTCTGTAAATACTCTATGTGTAACCAAATTTATTTCATTTTTTGAGAGGTTTAGCTTAAGATACTCGTATTTTTTATTTGCCGAACTAAGTTCCAGCAATACGAATACCTTTTTGCTCCAGAAAGCTAGTACTTTTATTGTTTCCGCTTATTAGTTTGCTATAACCTTCAGTATCCTCAAGATTTTCCATGCCATTGATTGTGCTTGAAGTAACTAAAGTTTTAGTAGTGAAAATGTTATACTGATTAAATTTAGTACCGACAATTCCTTGACATACCACTTCTTCACATATAATATTCCAAACAGCTTCAACTACTGCATAAATGGCTAAATATCGATCTAAGTACTATAGACTAAGTAAGAAAGTTTACGAGAGAAAATTTTGAATCGAGCCTTAAACAGTTTAGCTTTTTAACTTTCAATTCGTGGTCTTTATTCCTTTCCTTTATTTCGAAATATTTTCGTTAAAAACATACCTCCTTTTACGCCACTTAAAATTATTTTGTTCGTTGTTAACTCACACGTTAAAAACTCTTCCCTTTCTTATCTCTTAAGATCCCCTTTCTTTCCAGTAGTTTTATTTCCGTAAATCTACGTGGTTTTCTCTGCTCATTCTCGACTGTTTTACCCGACTGTCATCAAATAGAAGAATACTTATAACAAGACTATGATGACTGCCAATATAACATATACGATATCTTTCATCGTCAAAAAATCGCATCTGAGGCGATCTTTTAATTGCAGATGTACAACTGTCGAGGAGTAGGGTGATCAATGAAAACCAAGGAGAGCCATTGAAGATCAGGGAAAACCACTGAGAACCAGTGAGAACCACTGAGAAGCTGAAAAAAAAAACTCTGAGAACCAGAGAGCCACTAAGAACCACTGAGAACCCGGAAAACAACTGAGAACCACTGTGAGAGAACCAATGAGAGCTAGAGAGAACCAGTTGCAACCAAAGAGAACCCCTAAGAATCAGTAAGAACCAGCGAGAGTCACTGAAAACTAGTTGGAACCAGAGAAATACGCTGAGAATCACAGAGAACTAGGAAAATCCAGTAAGAATCACCGAGAAGCAGGAAAAAAGTCTGATAACCAGGGAGAGCCACTAAGAACCATTGAGAACCCGTGAAAGGGACTGAGGACCACTGTGAGGGAACCATTGAGAACTAGGTGAGAACCAGTGACAACTAAGGAGAACCACTAAAAATCAGTAAGAACCAACTAGAGCCCTGGAAACCAGGGAGGCCCACTGCGAACCAGTCAGAACCAGAGAAATATGCTGAGAATCACTGAGAACCAGAGAAAACCAGGGAGAACCTGTAAGAACCAAGAAGAACCACTGAGATTAGGGTTTTGATTATGTAAATCCACTTTGAGAAGTTGAACGAACTCTTCACGTCTAAGCATAACCACGATGACTTTTGCTCCGGCTTTTCATATTTTGCCGCTTACTGAACTTTATTTTGTTTTACAAGCAGAATTTAACTGTTTCGTATGCATCTAATGCACGTATGTATCTATGAGCAATTCTCTTGCTTTGCCAGTGATAAAGTGAAAATAGCGAAAGCATGAAAAATATTTCAACGTGTATGAGGGAATTGACAAATGAAAAACCACGGATTTATAGGCACTTGAACTTTTGTCTACTTTGAACTTTGTCGGCAATACATAGAGGGTGTGATTTTCCTGAGCTCATTGAGTATTTGCTTTCAATGGCGGTGCGTGTGCGTGAATCTATTTGTATATAGTTTATGAGTGTAGAGTATACAGATATTGATACAAAAGCTTAAAGGCAAATGCTTTTCTTTTTGTGAAAATCTTTCTTCGCCATAATCCATGCAGATGAGATACATTTCAATGTATCACTTTTCAGGTGAAGACTTAAGAATGTAAGTTTTTCCAATTTTCATTTGAAAATATTAAAGTGAACATATGTATATGAAAATAAATTTTTCTAAGAATAAGTGACACTTCGTGTTAGTTGGATGAGAGAGTATATTAGAATGTTAGCGACATTTTTAAAAATTGGTTTTGCTCAAGAATATGCATCCATCTCTAGAATTTTGTGGTTTCACAATGTTGCAATATTTTTCGCCATTTCGATACATAACGGTAGTATGAAACTTAAAGGTTTTAAAAGTTTTTGTCTACTCATTTGAGTGAAACTCTTCTCTAGCGATTCAGTTTTTCATTATAGGTAAGAGAAAATAGTCTCTAATTTGGCGAATAGGGCTAGTGAGGGACTGGTTCACAGATTTCCGCGTATTGTTTGCTTTACGATTTTCCAGGTTGTTGACATTCCATGCGAAGCCCAACATATACTGGCTAAGACCTTGTCGATTGACAGATGATGTTGATATTTCTACAATTGGAGAAGTTGTTTAAAGTCAGCTTTGTATTATATACGCCTTCTACTATCTATTGATCCTTTCAGTCGCTAGAAAAAAGCTTTTCTAACACCAAAAGTATACCATTTTACTCCTATTTCTCTATGCTTCCCCAATTCATTGTCAATCCACGCATTCTTGGTAACGAATTAACTGCTCTCCGTGAACACAGTCAACCGTGACAAAGCTTTAAAGGCTGTTTCACACTTCACGCAGGTGACATGTCTACTTCCCACATTTGGCATCTCGAAAACGCAAGAATAAAGCACTTTCTTCTCACATAAGTCACCTTTCTCTGCATCATCTTTTTTTCACTGACATAAAAATCATAAAATAGACAACATGACACTGCAAAAATGGAGGAAAAGTGAAAAGCTGCTGATATGACAAAACAAACAAATAAAAAAAACAGAAAATAAGAAAGTACAGTTATAGCTCATGAAAAACTGAAACTAAGCCGCCATCAACAACCCTGCTACTTTTCTACATGCCCGCTCAACGCCGTCTCCAATCAGCAGGCTTAAAAGCGGCTGTCATCATTTAGACATCAAGCAGCACCAGCCGCCTCAAACAACAGCAAATGCTTACAGACGTCAAACGGTAGGTGGGCATGCAAAACAGGAAAAAAAGATGGAGAAAAACGCGCAATAAAAGCGGAAGTGTTGTAATGCTGGAAAAGTGCGAGTTTATCCACGTGATGACAATGCTGGTCGTCGCTTACTCCATCAACATATTCGCTTGGCATTTACTTTGCCAACTTTAGTGGCTTCAACGACGCTTCACGGCCTCGTCATCGTCATCGTCGTCATCGTTGTCGCCTCAGTTGACATTGGCCGTGGCAGTTGTGTGTCATTACCATAAAGCTCGCGTTCGTTGTTGTGCCGCCTTTGTGGTGGTTTCTATTGCTCTATTCTCGCCTTGTTATTGTTGTAGTTATTAAGGCGTTTGCGTTTAGTAGACTAACGTCAGTCGCTTGACGGCTGCAATAGCAACAGACAACGGCTTTGTATATATACCATATGTAAGGCTATGGACTCGGGGTTTGTAGTGTGGAGTTGCACTCTAGTTGCAATTTGTTAATTTCTACGAGATCAGTGTGGCGGTTAAAGGTAAATTCTTTTAGTGCCAATTTTTTTAATGCCACAACATTGCTTTCTAGATCTCTTACAAATATCATGTTTTTCTTAAAATCTATCTCTTTTTTAACTTCTGTTTTGAGTTCCGGCCAACCCACGGTCTGAACCAATTCTAGCTGACCTTTTCAAGTCCACTAAGCAACGCCATTAAATTATGCTCAGTTAAAATGTGACATTTACAATCTTTCCTTCAAGTTCTTGTTACTTTCTCAGAAGTTTTAGGTATACTATTACAATATATTAATACCAATATATTATATATGCAAGTCTACCGAAGTTTTTAAAATGGTACATGTCAAAAAATTGTGTTCGTTTATGTTAAAGAGAACCAATTTGTATGTTTCAATCATTAATGGTTGTAGTTGTCTACAATATTTTTTCTGTAGTGCGAGCTTTCACTTAGCGAAAGCTTTTGCAATGAAAGCTCGACACCTTTGAGTTTTAGCTTTTTTCCAAAGCTCCTTTAGCCTTCCTCGAATACTTTATATATTAATATTTGTACTTACACAACTTTTTTGAAATCATTTCTCATACTGAAAAGTTTTCAGTATCGCTTTGATCTTGATACTTAATACTCCATAGATATTCATGAACGAAAAAATGTTACTATTCTTATAGATAGAGCATACTCATATTGTTATATGAGTGCCAACATTCGCTCAATCGCCCCTTCAAATTAGACCAGAAAATAAAAGTGTTTACAACAACAAGCTGAAAGGAATTGAATGTGTTCAAAACATGGTATAAAATATCATATAATATTAATACTGCTCAACCTTTCAGTACGTGGAAACATTTTTCTTGCGGTCACAAACAATTGCATTTCTTTACATCTTTATTCATCACATTTTCTAATCAATTAATTCTATACTCAATAGCATTTTTCTTTTAATATTGCAGATAAACATTTTTTTGATGACTTCGTTGCTCAAACCGGTGAGTTCTTTTGCAATACAAATATACATTAAAATTATTTATTGCCAACAAATACAATATTTCGTGAGTTTTTACTGTTATGTGTGTAAACACAAAAAAATTGATACTCTGCAATTCAAATTCGAACGTTTGAATATAAGAAGATGGTTTAAAGAAATACATTTCGATAAAAAAGAATTTGGAACATAAAATGCAGCTGTAACTCTGTGTAAATGGGCCCCGAAATTCACATTCGAATCACAATTATATTGCTTTGTTTATATTTATTGCATGTTTTGTTGATTTTTTTGTTATTTTGGGTTTTTTCCTTCACGCACAAATCCTTTCCAAGTATTGAGATTTGTCAGCATCATCTTAAGCGCTCATAAAACTTTTGCGTAAACATTTTTATTATCATTAGAGGTCTTACAACACAGAATAATACACCGAGAGAAATGCAGCTGAGTTATTTTGTTCATGATTTTAGTAGAGCAGATAAGCTGTTGTTAAAGCTTAACAATAACAATAAAATAAAACAAAATAAAATAAAACAAAATCAAATGAAGTAGGATAAAAAAAAAAATAGAAAAAAATAAAATCAATTTAAATAAATTTGAATTAAATAAAATATTATAAAATTAAATAAATTTAAATACATTAAAATAAAATAAAGTACTATAAAATTAAATATAATAAAATATATTTAAATAAAATAAAATAAAATAAATTTAAATAAAATAAAATTAAATAAATAAAAATAATTAAAAATGAAATAAAATATTATTAAATTAAATAAACTAAAATAAAGTAAAATAAAATAAATTTAAATAAAATAAAATATTATATAATTAAATGAATTAAAAGAAAATTATAAATAAAATAAAATAAATTTAAATAAAATAAAATTTGATTAAATTAAATAAATGAAAATAAATTAATATGAAATAAAATAGAATAAAAAATTTAATAAAATATTATATAATTAACTTAATTAAAATAAATTATTTTAGAATAAAATGGAAACATACACTGCATAACGTAACGTAACTTTACTTTATTTTGCTCAACTTCACCTAACTTAACTTAACTCAACTTTTGTTAATTTAACTTGACTTACCTCCCCTTAACCTAATTAACCTTATCTTAACAAAACTAAACTTAGCTAAAAAAGCTTAACGTAACTTAACTTAACTTAACTTAGCTTGCCTTAACTTAACTTAACTTAATTTAACATAACTCAACCTAACATCACATAAATTAGTATAAATTCTTATGGCAAAACCAAAATCCATGAAGTATCACGTAACTTTCTTTCTCAACTTATTTGCGAAATTCTACCAACATCGCTCTCCTTCGAACCACTTTTGTAACCGCTCCATAACTGTTGCACCGCTAACCTCTGCATATCAACGCGTATAACTGTGCCACCTTTACCGCCGTTGTCAGCATCAAGAACTGCGTCATTTTGGCTATAATCTGCGTGGATTATGCCGGAATTGGAATATCGTATAAAATTTTCATACGTGATTTGATTTTCAAATTTGGTGCTCCGTTAAAACGATATGTTTTTTCGCAACTGCGGACTTGAGTGCAGAAATTTTTATATATTTTGCAAGCTAGCCTAATATTATATTATATTTTTTTGGGCTCGTGTTATTGTTGTTGTAGTTTATTTTCGATAGCAAAATATCGCCAATCAAGTTTTTTGTTTTTGTCTTTTGCTCTGCATGCCATTGAGCGCTTCCGCTCATTCTTTGATTGCTAGTGATTTTTATTTCCTTTATGAAAGATCGTAGGTAGCCACGTGTGCTGTTCGTTTGAGTGTCGCTTGCATTGTCTGCCGCTCGAGCTCTCACTTTTTACCTTTACTTCCAAGTTTTTGTTTTCTTTTTCGCACTTGACTCGCATCAGGGCTTTTAATATGATTAATGTGCGCCTGACGCGCTATGCTTTTCTTATTGTACTTTGCCTAACTTTTTGATTGTCTCCAGCAACAGCACACACATACATTCACAATCATACGTTTTTACACATATATTTGTTTGTGGTTTTGTATTTGTTGCAAACAAAAATATTTGCACGTAACGTCAAAACCGCCAGCAACTTGGTCAACACAGCGGGCGGTCCAACCTAGCAGGCACATATGCGCGCACACACTTGCAAACAAGCTTTATGTAGTGTATGAGGTTTTCTATTCAGTTAATCGTTGCATATGCCAGGACGCTGAAGTTCACACAAGCAAAATTCGCGTTGTCACACACCCGCATATATATATGTATATGTGTCTCATTTCGTTTGCAGCGCAGACAATGTTGACTGCAGTGCAGCGCACTTTGTTGTTGTTGTCGCTAGCGGTTGACTGTCGCGCTGCTTCGCCTCATCTTCTTCACTGATTTGCGCTTTTGTTCTGCTTCTATGCATGAGTCTTGCGTTTATTCGAACGCGTGTTGTCATCGTTTTAAGTGGTGTAATTTACAAAAGGATTATACAAGAGTCCGGAAAGGCAGCGCACTTGGAAATAGAAAAGTTGAATCGACGGTCTGGTGGTTTCAAAACAAAAAACAAAAACAACATCGCGCATACACGTCACCGAGATCCCTTATGCTTTCCATATGGCAAACTTTATTATATCTTTTCACTCTCTACCCCTATACTATTTGCCACGCGCTACGTGGCGAAATTACGGCTAATGCGTTTTTGCGCTTGGCGTCGTCTTCGTAAAATTTCCTGCCAACCACTCGGCTGTCGGTGTCATCAACGCAGCGGGTGCCTGCGCGCTGATTTAAGCAACTTTTTTTTCCTTTTCAAAGCTTTTTCCACATCTTTTCATAAGTGTAATCTTCGTTCCTTATCCGACTTCCCTTTCATTTGCTGGTTTCTGTTTCTACTTCATCTTCTTCATGCACTAATCCGCGCCGTCGTCTGTGAACTGCCATTTATAGACTTGTGTCTTGCGCCGCGTGTGTCAAAATAATGATTCCACTTCTCATTTCATTTCTCATTTTTCACTTTTTTCTCTCTTTGCTTGTGTTATTTCTTTTATATTACATGCGTGTGCCTTGAATATGAAATTAAATTTTACGCCTACATTTGCTGGGAAACTGAATTTGCATCTTTCGCGTATTTGCATTTGTTTTTGTTGCTTAAGTCTCTTTTGTCGTTGTTGGCTTAACGAGAAGTTAAAATGTACTTAACGCAGAGATTTGCTGTCAACATGAATGTAATGGAGTAGAATATGTGTGTGCTAGTGCTCATAATAATTGACAATTTTATTTTCATTTTCTTAAACTGACGAAGTTAAGCAAATAAAAAACAAATTCGAGAATGAGTTAATAAAAGTTGGAATGGTTTGGTTTTAAAATTAGTATAGCGCAATATAACATCACATATATAAACAGGGTACCGTTATTTATGTCGCTATGTAAATATTGAATAACTTTGAATGAAGCATTCACTTTTTTAGTTTTTGTATACTTTATTCAATTTTTTTTGGGTTACTTTTGAGTACAACATCAATCAAAATCTCGCTATGGCGGTATAGCTTGAATTTTGGCACGTAGGATTGCCTGGAGCTCGGCAATAGTTTGAGAATTCCTGCTGTACATTTTCATTTTCAACTAATCCCACAAATATAAGTTAGAAGTTAGATCTGGAAAATTAGTTCAGTGTCAGTCTATCGAGTGGTTGTTTGAACGTAGTTCTAAGCGTCGTATATTGCCAGTAGGTAATGTTCTTTTGGTCGATAGCTCTATATATATATTCCCTGACTCTTGTGAATTCTTGGAAACAATTTTCTCTGACTGCATCATCATCCGCATACCATCTCTGCATTTCGGCAAATCCACTTTTCTAATTTTTTTAGGACAAATGTGACCCTTTAATGTTACTTAGTTGTCTTTTGCCTAAAAGTACAAGATTTTTGGTCTTTCCATCATCAACACTACTCCAAAGTCCTTTTGAGGTATGTCCTGTGTTGCTAGTGCTTAAAGAACTAAAGTGTTCCTTTAGAATTCATCGCTTCAAGAAACCATTGACGATGCTGACTGATCTAGGGCAGCTTGGGAGAATTGTGGTTCTAGCTTGAGACGTTGCCTAGCCAATACGGTGTCACTCGTGCCGCATGACATTTTCTGCAGTCATCTTGGTCTGGCCGCCCCATTTGCAACCAGATTATGATCAAAGAGTATTCAAATCATGTTTAATGTGTGGCGCGCAGCTAACATACATTTACGTCAACTCGTTCAATGTTTACTTCGAACCTTCTTTTCCAATTCAAAAGGGGAATCGTGTTGTCGATACCTGCTAAACCGCCATTACACGCCGAGCTATGGCCGAAGGATCTACATAAATATTAATCCTCTAGCAGCCAGTAGTTCTCCTGCCAATTTTGCAGTTTTCAGCGAGGAGGTCTATTTGGCAGGTCTAGCACTTTCCAATGGCTTCCGGTGGGTTTTCGTAAGCCTATCCACCACAGTACTGAACCGTAGCGCAGAAATATTCTTACAATCGCTGTGTCGCTTCCAGTGGATGAGATAGTGAAAAATCCTCCAGCTTGTAACGAGCATCTGCCTACATGCATATTAAGCCTTTCTTACTCTTTATTCTACAGACGTGTGCTGTCCAAGATTACCTCAAGATATTTGGTGCGATCCTTGAGAGATGGTTATGTAACATTTATCGAAGAGAGCCTCCATCTTGTAATTTCAAGTAAACTACCACAAAATTTGGATTTTAATGGAAACCAACTGCAGTTCTAACTGGGTCTGGCACTTGTAGTTGTTAATGTAGACAAACCTGTTATGGATATACCATTTATTATTAAACGCTTAATTTCTGTAAGGTGCCTTTTTAGCTTTTGGAGGTTATTTATCGCTAAATATCAAAAAATTGTTGAGTTTGATGCAATGGTTGCCATATAGCAGTACTTATAAAAAATATATTTTGGATTTTTTTTTTACCATAGCGGGACTAAAAATTTTAAACTATATGTTAGGCGTAATGTGAATTGACCACAAACAGCCGATT